TAAACTTTACTTCAGATATCTCCAATATTTGTTACCAGTAAGTGTTATATTAGGTGCTTGAGACGATGATAGCAGTTGTGTTGTGTGTAAAATAGATAAAACTGTGTTGTGGTGTTATTTTTTTAGTTCATTGTAATGTTTGTAGTCGACATAATGCTGATGGAGAGAAAATTCACCACAAATCGACCTTTACGTGTTATAAATGTGGCGAGTTGGGACATATATCTACCACATAAGTAAAGAATACAGCTGTTAGCTATGGAAGATTCAGCAACGAGAGAAGAGGCGAACGGTATTTCATTGTTGAACCAAAAGGAAGTTTGATGCATCGTGGTGAGTCCTATCCAATTACTTTTAATTCAGGTGCTGAATGTTCACTAATTAAGGAAAGTATATCCAAAAAGCTATCTGGTAAGATATTTAATAATACAATGAAGTTAAGGGTACGCCTCAAGTATTAAGTAATGTGGTTATAAATGAAAATTGTATAGAAATAATATTTTATGTGGTACTTGATGGTTATCTACGAAATGATATAGTGATTGGACGTGAGATTTGGAGTTACGATTTTAATGTTGTTATTGACCCAGACAAATTTGAAATTGTGAAAACTAAGGCAATTAATGTATGTTCTATTTCTGAACGTTGTGTGAAAATTACTCAACAATAAAATTTGTATTTGCTGGGACAGAGTTTTGAACTCCAATTCTTAAACAGAACTATGAACGCAAAATCGCACTAAGGAGAAACTTTTTGGACAATTGCCGTGGACTTTCCAACAAGACTACGCCCCAATACATACTCCCCGTATTGTAAAATCGTTCATTGAGTCCAGAAATGTTGCTGTTCTGAACTGGCCACCATACTCGCTCGACCTTAACATAATAGAAAATGTTTGGGGATGGCTGGCTAAAAAAGTTTATGAATCGGGAAAACAATATTCAATAAAAACTAAACTAATTGAAGCACTTCAACAAGCAGGGGCTACAATTTCCCTTGATTATATTAAACTTTTGTATGATTCACTTCCCGATAGAACGTATGAGGTTATTAGGGAGGTTCAAGCCATTACTAAAATGTTAATTTTAATAAATTAATCCTTAATAATAAATAAATAAGCTGCGCCGCTTTTAGAGGACAGAAGCATTTGAGATGTTGCCTGAGCAACAACGTTTGACTATGACTTAAATAAAATATTAAATATATATGATAATAACAAATACTTATTTTAATTAATAAAACAAATAATAAGAAGATATTACAGGTGAAGGAAATACTGCACGCAGATTTTGTCATAATACTAAATTAAGTGCAGAAATTAATGGCTTAAATGAAAATTTAATATACAATTTAAAAATCATATTGATAACCTTGTCAACTGGTTTTGATATTAATGTGACCCATTTTCAAAAGTTTGCAGGGGAGACAAGAAAGTTATATATAAAAGACTATTTTTAGTATTACATGCGAACCACTCTGCATAAGATTCTCATTCATTGAGCGGATGTTATTAATAGTTCACTTCTACCAATAGGACAGCTGTCATCAGAAGAAGCACAGGAAGCGCGAAATAAGGATTGTTGTAGATTTCGACAGCATCATACAAGAAAAGAACTCACGAGAAGCCACAAATAGAGACTTACTTACAATGCTTTTGGTAACTTCTAATTCAATTATAAGTAGCTTAAGAAATGTGCCTTTAAAAAACTCAAACAGATATCCTCGTGAAGTTTTAAATTTATTAACATCAGCACCAATTAATATTCATATTCCTGATTATCAACAAGAGCTTTATGAAAACTATTCCGAAACTGGTAGCGATAAGAGCGATTATATTGAATCTGAGTAGGAATCATATATAATATAACAATAGTGGTGAGTTTCAAATTATTTCATGTGGCTACCAAAATTAACTAAATAATTAATTTTAATACAACTATTTTAAAAGTTAATTAATAAATATTTATAAGTCGGGTAACCAGTCAAGTAGAAGTCGGTCAAGCAAACAAATAGTAGCAGTAGTAGTAGTCAGTCAACAGCAGTAGTCGATCGTAAGCAGTCGGTACTCAGCAGCTGTATTAACAATTAAGTTGTACATATATTTAATTTTTATATAATATTTTTTGAGCTTAACTTTTACATATAAAAGTTAAGTACCTCAAATATACACTAGACAATATTCATTTTTCTAAAAATCCCGTTACAATTAATACATAGCTGATACAGCATTTTCTTTGTTTACACAGCTGCATCGAGAGTTTAAGGCTCAAGATCAGTTCATATACAAATTGCTTAGCTCCATAAATTTTACTCTTTATTATAAACAATTACATGTAGTTTTGCTAAGCTACAAACTGTATTGTAGCTAAGTACTTCAAATTAATATATACAATTGGCTTAGGATAAAAAAATTCTAAACTATATCTTTAGTTTTTAAGAAACGATGAAATAATAAAGTCGATTTTTTTAAAAAACTTTTTTTTAAAAAAAAGTTACATACAAAATTAATTTGTATGTAGGTATGTGTATTTTATATTAAATAAAATTAATTATTTCTTTGTAGGGTTAAATGTAAAACACAAAATCATTTGTAAGAGAAAATAATAGAGAATAAGATAGACTTTAAGTTATGATCTGAGCAAGCTTTGATTAAAAAGCTTTATTTGTAAGCTCAGATTATTTGAATATAAAAGTAGGAGCATTGCTAACTTAGATTAGATTCCTGTACGGTTAGAACACAGTTACATGTAAATGATATTCATTTAATAAATATTTTTTAAAACAACCGGATTTTCAATCTAATTAATTTACATTTATATTTCTTACAATTCTTGAACCATTCATAAGTAATTTTATATTGAAAAAGTTAATATATTGAAAATATAGATATATCAAAATTTAAATCCACTTTTACTCGGTCACTCCTATCTGGACTATCGAACTAGAAACACTGAACCACAGACTTAAATAAATAAATTTAGTCATAGAAGAAGTTGAATGCTTCAACTTGAAACCGCGAGTTTTATTTTGAAACTATCAAGGTTGAGTTTGCAGACCCCAGAGTTTAAAGTTTAAAACAAAAAGCAAAAATATACGTATATAAAATATTTAAACCCGAAAAGTTGCAGTTTTCAACCCAAAAGTTGTGATTATAAACCACTTTAAATTAAAATTAAGTCTCGAATTTTTATTGCGGCGTCATATTGTCGCGGCAGTTATACAGTTGGGTTTAGATTATTTGTAGGTTTTTCCACTTTTTTGCTCCGAATGGATGCGCAATGCAAAATCCATCAATTGTTCGTGATCGTTTGGTAAGTGCACATGTAGTGTGGAGTGTTCTTTGTTAAAGAAAATATATTTAAATATATTAAATTACAATAATTTAGTGATGGTGACATATATAAATATGAAGATTTATTAAGAAGCAGATTGATGAAGATGAAGATTTATTTCTTAAAAGTCAAATTGGCCCACTTTTAAAACGATTTAAAAAAGATTTAACTATTGATGATAAAAGTAGAAGACTAATGGTCAGAGCTTTGGCAGATTTTGTTATAAGTAAATTTGGTGATTACACGAGCAGAATAGTTAAATTGCGCATTGCAACGATTGGAACGGAGCTTATCCCATGTTTGCGAACCAATTCAAAGTATTGTGGAGCTGTAAGTATACAAAATAATGCAAAAGAAATTTGCTTTTCGAAAACTTCCTTTTATTTCAATTCACTTCATTTTTTTCCCATTAAGAAATTTTTTTCGATCATGATAATAATAAAGGTTACCTTTAGAGTCAACTTAAAAATCGTAACTTCAAAAGAAAGCAGAATGAAATAGAAGATTCAGAAGAACTGTGTGTTAGAAGCAGCAAGTGTGATGATAGTGAATTAAAGTTATCGGAAGAAAATTTGATGGAAAGAAGTTATTAGAGCAAAAAGTCAATATAAAAAATATATTTCCATTCTACTTTTTGGATCCCGAACTGGTTAGTAAAGTAAATTTGAAAATATGAAATGAAATTCTTATATGAACTAACTTTCAAATTTTAATTGATTTCTGTATTCAGTTTCCACAAATCACCACTCAGCTTACAAAAGCTTGGCAAGAAGTAGAAAAAAAAGTGCTAACAGTCTTAGCATCAAAAGGGATACAAGACTGCTTTCTTGAAGGTATCTGGTCTTACCCACTTCCATTATTTTTTATAAATAAAATATAATTTTATAAATTGAATAAACGATAAATAAAATATATTTTTAAACAAAAAATCATCAAGATTGACTCGGATGGGCCACCGTCTTTTTCTTAGTTAACGGAAACGGTGATTGTACCAAGTAAATCTTCGTCGCGATCTCAAGAAAGGCGACTGGAAATAATTGAAGTCTTGTCTTCAAATTCCGGAGCTGCTGATTCTTGCGATTCCGACAACGACAGTTTGGTCTCTCAGAAGTCCGGTCAAACTGTCATTGGCTCCAAAGTTAGTAATCTCACTTCGGAATCTCCTAAATTCACTCACCTCAAAAGAAGTGAGAGAAGACGGTTCAAGGCAGCTATGGCATCAGGTCTTAGCAGAGCAGGAGCTCTAAAAATCGCCACGCAGTCCTCAACTGCGATTAAGCGGGACAGATCGGAGGAGCAATCTTCTGGTTTGACTACCGCCAAAAAACCCAAGGTGGCTCATGTGGGGCTTGCCAAGCCATCGTGCAGCCTAGCTGTTAAAGGCGTACGTTTAGGCT